CTGGCTCGGATATAATTGAATATCACAGCGCTACGCGCTGGGTATTTTTTTTCCTTCCTCCTCCTGTGTGTGTGTGTGTGGTGGTTTTGTTGTTTTTGGGTTTGTTTTTTTTTTTCCCCCCCTCTCCTGGTATTTTTTTTCTCCTCCTCCTCTCGGTGTGGACACCTTAAAAATACATATATATAGATATTTATATATATATATTATCGATACCCATACGCGTGTATACACACACACAGACACACACACACACAGAGAGGGATGTGCGCGTATAATATACACGCGGCGGTATAAAACACACGGGAGGAGGAGAGACAATCCAGGGTGAATTCCTCGTGCCTCCATTCCCTGGGAAAGGGGGGAGCAGCCGCTCGCAAGGTAAGGACCGGGGGGCTCCGAGCCCCGGGGGTGGGAGGGGGCCGGGGATGGGGATGGGGGGCGGCCGCCCTGTTTGTGCCGGTGGAGGCGGGAGGGGGATGGGACCAGGACGCTCCTGTGACCCCCCGTTTTTGATTAATATGTGCATATATACGCGTATTTGTGTGTATAATATATATGTATTTACCTCCCTTCCCCTCCCCCACTCCGCGCTGCTGGCTTCCCCTCCCCCACCCGCCTTCGGTTTTTTTTTTTTTCCCCCTTAATTTTTTTTTTTTTCTTTAAGAAAAAAGGGTTTAACGGAGCTGGGGGATGGGGTGGATGGGGGGGGACACCGGACTCGGCAGGGAATGGCACACGGGAGCCATGGCGAGAGGCCTATTTTTAGCCTGATTTGTGTGGAAGAGCGGCTTCCCCTCCCCCCCCTTCCCGCATATTTACTTATGGGGGGGAGGGGAGGCCCTGCCCCTCCCCCACTGCTCGGAGTTCTCCCCCATCCCGACCCGGCCATTCCTTGGGAGGGGAAACACACCCCTCCCCCCATCCCCCCCGGGCCATTCCCGATGTTTCTCCCCCCGCCCCGAGCCAAGTTATTGATCAGTTTTCCTGTGAAGTTCTGGGCGGAACATGGAATACCCCGCGGTGGCAGCGAACGGGCCCAGTTTGGGGCATAAAATAGGCTTTTTCCCCCTACTTCACAGCGTCTCTCTGTTCCAGGGCTTATCCCTGTCTGAAACCCTGGTGTAAATTGTGCGTTGCATCAATTAGACGGGCTCACACGTTGATGCAATGTGTGCATTTTCTTGGTGGAGGATATACAAGCCCTGTAATACGTGGTTCATTATTGTTGTACCCTCGAAAGGGTTAAAATTTATCGTGTTGCTCCAGGTGAATTTAATCTTTCATCACCGAATTTCCTTTTAAGGCAGCTTGACAGAATAAAAGTCTCCCCTCGCCTGTCTTTATCCCCAGAACAGCAAAACTTTGTCTGTGCTTTATGGCAGGGGCTGGTTGCTGCAGATGACACGTGAGTCTGGAGGAAAGTTTGGTTTGTAGGTCGCTGTGTAGGAAAGTGAAGTTTGCTGGTGAAGTTTTTACTACTCTCCAGTGTGCTCAACTTCCTCGTTTTCCTGTCTGTGTAAATCAAATTCCTAACTGATTTATGGGGGAGGGGATGACAAAACATATTCCTTATTGTTAAGGCATGGGAGGCATGATCAGGAGAACCAAGTCTTTGTTGCGTGGAAAAAAAAAAAAAAAAAGGAGTATTCTGGGCTTGTCTGACTTGCTCTGCTGTCCTGTGGTACTAAAATAAATGTCTGAGCATGTTGAGCGTATTAAATGAGGTTCTTTGGTGTTGGTGGTCTCTGCTCTTTGGGTTTTGTGAGTTGTGCCCCTTTGGCGGAGCAGGCACTGTGTTTTGCAAAACTGAAGTTTGGAGTTTGAGTTGTGCCTGAGCTTTTAGGGCAGTTTGGGGCCCTTTTCTTGCTCTGAGCGGCCTGAAGGCTGGTCTGTGTGAGGCTCATTCTGGGCTTGGGCCTTCCTTTGGACACATGTGTTAACAGGCTTTTTGGAATGTATTTCAAATGAGGACCAAACCTCCAAAGTCTTGTGTGTGCCCCTAAATTTAAACAAGTGGGCACGTGTTTGTGGATGAGCATGGGAAGGTTTTTTTTTCCCCTTATTCATAGAAAAAAGGGGTCCATGCTGGTAATGGTGCTTAGGGCACAGGTGGTGTCCTGTAAAGGATCATAAGGAGCTTTCTGTGGTTTCTTGTAGTGTTTCGCTTTTGGCTAAGGTCTAATGGAACAGCAACACACTGTATTATTTGCCTAAGGTCACCGCAGCCTGTGCGTTGTTGTTGCCTTAAGTTTTCTTAGGGGAAGGTGGATTTGTCTCCATGAGAACTGTGTCTTCTGGTGCTGTGCTTTGGGAACTTGATGGCCTGCCTCCCAAAGTGTTATTGGGAACACCTGGAAAACACTTGTTTCTCACTCCATGAGAAAAGGGGAAGGAAATGTAATTTAAATGTATGAAAGGAGTTGGGGTTTGGCTGTTGGGCTTTACAGTTTTATGTTTAGGATTGTGCAAGAGTTTATTTATTTATTTTTGTTTGTTTGAATACGCACAGCCATAACGTGTGAAGGACGCAATAATTACAGGAGATTGTGTTGCTTAAGCTTTTTTTCCCTCTTCAAACAGGTAGTTAAGATTGTTCTTCCTGTGAATTTTTTTTTTTTTAAATATGAATGCTTTTTTCAGTTTTACTCTATATATGGTAATTATTGATGTTTGTGTAATGCTTTGAAGTTGTAAGGCAGGGTATAAGCACTAAGTACTCAACAGCAATACTTGAGAGTCATTTTCCCATCATGAAAGAGTTTGATGCTAAAAAGTGCTACAGCCCTAAGCATAAAGAGGCTCTGGATGGATTAGGGGAAATGGTCAAAATTGCTGATTAATGTTGTTTTCAGATAATAGTCTTTAGTTAGGAAGAACAGACCTGAATGATGTAAGGCAAACTGAGTTATTTTACCTAACTTGATTTTGGTCTGGAATTTAATTGGATGTGGACTTCACATTTGAGTCAGAATGTGTTTGGTGTTAGAAGTTTTGTAGTGGCAGTAAAGACCCACATCCTACAAGGATGTAATCGTGCAGATGTCAGGAAGTCCTGTAAAACACACAACTTTGTGAACATCAGTGGTCTCGTTCGGCCGAATAAGCTCCACAGCTGTCTGTGGAGTTGCTCCCAGAAGTTGGGTGTGTTTTGTGTTAGTGGTGGGCAATAGGATGTGAATCTTTCATTACACTGGTGCTGCTTTGGTATCTCAGGGCTGTTAGGGGTTTTGGAGAAGGCTGAGGTAGTGACATGGTTGACGCCTTTTCATCAGTAATCCTGTTCCACTGCGCATGGGGAGTCCTAAGCAGTAGCCAACCCTCTCCCACCTCCCCCCAGTTTTTGCTTGCTTTGCCTGTCTCTTCCATCCCCCCAGTCCACAGCCACTGGGGGTTGTGGTGCCTGTGTGAATTCTGACACCTTGCTGGTGAGGACACTGTGCTGGCAAGCGGAGAAGAGGCAGACACAAAACTCCTGCCAGCTTTTCCCCTTCTGAACCAGGATGGGGAGGTCATGAAGTGGTCTGGTCTCTGCTTGGGAGAGGAGGGCAATTGCTGTGTCAGTACTGCAATATTGTGATACTGAAATGTACCGAAGTGTGACTCATTCACAGTCTAGTTTGTGTTTATATGGAGTGGTGTGATACCATTCTGGGTGCTGACCATCCTCCATGTATGTGTGTTTGGGCATGTGTGCACATAGAGTTTAGGGTGTAATAATGACTGTATTTAATGCCCTAAACATCAGCTCATGCAAGTAGCTGCAGGTTGGGAGAGAAGTGAAAGTGTGTGTGCGTGCACACTGTAATTATGCATGTTTGGCTCCTACAAAAAGTAACTGCTGTGAGAATATACTCATTGCGTGCTCATTTTTAAATACAAATTTAAGTGTTTGTGTTAGGTGAACAGGTGTCAGTAGTTTCCCATTAGGAACTATGATTGACAGCTCTTTTCAGTGTTTCTGAGTTGCATTGCAGCATTAATGGAGTAGCTTCAAATTAACAGGTGATGAAGAAGCGATTTCTATGTTCCTGCGACTGCTTTGGCTAACCCATTCCCAAATACCTGCAGTTTTTTTAAGTGTTTCAGTATGAAGTCAGATGGTCTTAATTTCTATAAAGTCACTTAATAACAAGAGTGACTTTACTAGGAAAAGGTTCATCCAGTGATCCCGAGCAGAGTAGATGGAGAGTGCTTTATTCATCTCATAATTGGCTTCCTCGGAGATAAAGTATGACAATGAAATGAGGAATAAGAAATGCTTTTTGATATGAAATTGTAGGGAAATATATTGGCTTTCTTTTAATTTTGCAAAATTGAATTAGCTAACTGGAGGTAAGAGGCAGTGAAGACGAGGCAGCGTAGCTGTCACTTTTGGAGGGTTGATTGCGTGAGTGAAAAGGTTCAGAAGTCTGGTCTGGAAATCACACTGCCAGTTTGTATGAAAACTGTGAACAACTTCTCCTCCTTAGGGTTTCATCTTGTGGTGTCAAATCCAGGATGTGAAGGCCCTTTTCTTCCTTCTTGTAATGAAAACAAAGCTGAACTTGTTGATATAAAATGCTCTGGAGTCTCAGTGGCCTTGTTTGAGCTTACATTGAGTTTTCCTTTGGTTCTGAAGGATCTACAGAGTCATAACTCGGCTTACACTCTGAAACTGTGATCTTTAATACTTTACCACGTAACTTTCTGTGACATCCTTTGGACTTTCCTTTTCTCATCATTAAGGAGCCTAAAAAAAAAAAAAAGATTCCTTGATAAGAAATAGGTGGTCATTCCAAGCTGGAGGTTATTTAACTGCAGGGATACTGGTCAGGTGTGTAGGATCTTGCTGTCTTGGCTAGCCAAGGAGTGACGTGCTCGTGCTGCACCTCCACCTTTGCTCGCTTTCTTCCTTGGATGGGCTGATTGCAGGGAAGACTTTTGAATGTACTTCCTTACCCGTAGAAATAGTTATCAAAAGGTTTGGAGAATTGGTGTAGCTCTCTGAAAAACCTACTGAAAGAAGCTCCAAAGCGATGAGGAGGAGTGTTACGGAATTGCCTTGGCCAATGGGTGTGACATCTTTCAAAGAGTCCCTTTTTGGTCTTTGAATGTACATGTACGTGGCCTAACTCAGTGCTACGTGGAGATACTGAGGTCCTTCTCAGTGTGTCAGTTTGAATACCAGAAGCAACATCCTTGGGTGTGCTATCAGGCCAACACATCATTTTTTCAGGATGAGTAATGCAAGCAGGTTGGGTGTCAACCTGGTTTCGTGGTTCAGCGCCTGCCTGTGGCCCTTCACGGTGCTCTGTGTGCCCTGCTGAGCCCCAGGAGCTGAGCGCTCCAGAGTGCAGTGGGAGTGGGGATCAGTCCCCTGGATTTGTGCTGCAGTCCTGCTTGGTGCAAACATGACTCCTCCGAAGAGTATAAACTGGCATCTGTAAAGTAAGATATTAATAGTCTTATTTTCTGAGATGCTGAGTCCCCGCGGTTGCATGTGAAGTTGGCAGTCTCTGTGTGTGCTTAGCATTTCTAAAAATCAACTCTTGTGTGTGGTTTGCTGGCTTTTGCAAACTCCCATGAGGGTGTAGTTCTTGTTCCTGGGAGCAGTATTAGTAAAAGTCTATGTTGTGTACTCTGACTTGTGTTTATTGTTGTAATTCTGAAGTCTCCATGTTGCAAAGGAGCAATCTTGTTTACTAGTAATGTCTAGCAGTAAAAAAAATCAGAATCATCCAGAGGAAAAAACAGTTGTGTGGGGGGATTTTTGTTTCTTTTATGATCTGAGGCTCAGTTCAATCTCTGTTCAATGTCAGTGTACTACAGACACACTCCCTACAACCGTGTGCCATATGCAGACACGCCGAGTGTCATTTCAGATTGCTGGAGGTGCATTATTGGAAGTTTTAGCTGGTGTGGTGTCAGTAGTAGGCCTTCCCTTCCCCCAGTTTTGCCAGCCTGGCGAGGCAGACAAGCAGCTGTCCCTGCAGCTAATGCTGGTGCTCCTTTTAACCCGTTGTGGGTTTGGGGAGTGATTCAGTCACTTCCCCAGCTGCACGCAGAGCTCCCTCCGAGCCCCACTGACGTCAGGCCGATGGTAGATTTTTATGAATTGGGACTGTGAAAGCGCCTGTGGAAACTTTCCTGCTCTGTACACAGCTACGTGCCTGCTGGTGGAGACCAGAGAGCGCGCAGAAGAGATCTCCCTGCAGCCTAGTCCTGGAGCATTTTTCCAAGGTTGCGAGTTAAGGGTCAAATATTTAGTGTTTGTGAAAATGTAGTGCTAAATTCTGTGCCCGGTGCCAAAACCACAGAAATTGTCAAGGTCTAGAGCCCTAAATAGAAGCAGTCCTAAAAGTTGCATCTATTTGACATTAACAGTGTTAAGTTCAGGCTCTTCACATGGGCGACCTATTGCTGGCAGACTGAGCGGGGAGTTTGCTGCGTGGCGAGCACACACGAGGTGCATTTCAGTCCCCTGATGGTTCCCTAAAAGTACCAGGCCAAGAAGAAGCAGTTTGATTTCCTGGAAGAAGTTGCCTGGGCTGACCGAGGAGAGGAATAATAAGTTTCGTAGCTCTTTTGTGGTTTTTGGACAGACTGATTCACACTCGAGTGTCAGCAGGACTTCTGAAAATACTTTTTTTGCTTTGTAAAAATAGTAATAAAAAGATTAAATTATTTTTCATTTATTATTGATACCGGTGTAACTTAGAGTCCTCTTGGACAAATGAGCATTTTTGCCATTAATTTGAGCACTTGGGAGAGTGTTAAATGTGGCTGAAAATCTTACCTTGAAATACCAATTGATCTTAACAGACATGAGTGAGTCTGTTGGCCCTCCCCCCTGCTTCCTGGTCTCTCTAGCTCAAAGAAATCATGAGAACTTTTCCTCTTTTAGGTTATGTCTAAATTTGTGGGGGAAAAAATAGTTTTGATATTGCATAGACCTATGGGGGAAACAACAAGAGATCTGGGTCAAAAAAGTAGGACGTGCAAGATTTAGAAGCTGTTGAAGTGTATTTATTTGTCCTATATTAGGTTAAAGGAAGTATTGGTGCTCTCAGTTTGGCAGCGTGTCCTTCAGTCTGCGGTGTGCTGTAAAGGGAAGACAACTGTTAAAGAGTGAATCACCACTAATTTTTGTATGGATGTTCACATTCTAGTGCAGAAATTTTTGCCTGGATCTTAACTCAGACATGCATTCCTAAGTAAATACTCTTGGAGATAAGTTTTAATTAGGAAGTGCTTTGTAAAAGTACAGATTTTTGCCATGATGATGGTTGTGAATCTGTAACGTATTTCCTTTGGGGTTACGTTTGTTCAGATGTAATGCTTTTAAAGCAACGTTAGCACAGATGTGGATGGAAGAAAATGAGGGACCAGTGTTGCCAAACTATCTATTAATGATGACATCAAAGAAGTTGTGCTAGAAATGGCTAATGCAGTGGATCTGGGGTTTAGAGCAGCAGGGTCCATACTTGCTGAACATCATGAATATTTTGCTGATTCAGACCTGGGACCTGCTTTTTCACTTTATTTCAAATGCACAACTAAATTTCTCAATCTGGTGTCTTGTTTAGACTGTAAGTATCTAG